TATATATATATAGAGATATAGAAACAGTAAGCCCCAAAACAATAGTTGATATATAAGTTGATTATACACACATACATATACATATATAAATATAGAAACAGTAAGCCCCAAAACAGTAGAAAAGCAAGTAAATCCTACTAAAGTAGTGTTGCAAATTACTCTTCCATCATTGGGCGCTATTCTCTCTCTCTCTATATATATATACATATATATGTATGTTATTGTGTCCTTACTATCATCAAGGTGTTCATTCTGATGACTCAACCGGCAATATGAAAACAACAAATGGACAGTCACAACGGCCATATTGATCTACAAATGGCCATGGCTTCCATCGCAAACTCTTCAATTTCCCGGCAGCACCCTTATAACTACCCTCTGGTAAACTAACATAGCTATGGAAAATCACTATTTTTAATGGATAGATCCACTATAAATGGCCATTTTCAATAGCTATGTTAAATTACCAGAGGGTAATGACTATATTATTATTATACCCAATGTTCCAGCTTGGTGGGGATTGTTTGAAATCTCTATGACATTCCATATACATTTCATTTTTACTTCGGAATGATTATGTATAATATATATATATATATGTATACCATTATATGTTCATATGTGCTAGTTAAGCTAATTCCCGTTACAAACTATGCAATGTGGCCCCTCCGGTGATAAGTTGCTTTAAAAACCCCATTAACTACAGTTAAAAGTGCGATAAACCATAGCTATTGGAGTTACAAACAAACTTATCTATCTACGAGGGCCTAAATGGTATAGTTAATGGGATGTAACCAAAAAAAAAGGTGAGTTATTGCGGATAATTGTGGGAATATGATGGTGTATATAATTGTATATTGTATATATATATATATATATATGTCGTTATACTTCCGTATTTGCGAGTTAAGTCTAAGTGAAATCCTCTTATAACCATTAACTCCCGTCAATTGATAAAACCATCAACACTGTAGATCTATAATAATCTATATACACATCATTTCCCGATAATCCTATTATATATATATATCAATTACTTCAGGATAACTATAGATAGATAGATAGATAGATAAATAGATAGGTATGTAGGTAGATAGATAGATAGATAGATAGATAGACAAATAGATAGGTATGTAGGTAGATAGATAGATAGACCGATAGGATAGATAGATAGATAGATAGATGGATAGATCGATCGATGGATCGATCGATGGATAGATAGATAGATAGATAGACAGACAGATAGATAGATAGCAAGATAGATAGAAAGATAGACAGATAGACAGATAGACAGATAGATAGATAGAACGATAGACCGATAGACAGGTAGGTAGATAGATAGACAGGTAGATAGGTAGACATATAGGATAGATCAAAAGATAGATAGATAGATAGATAGATAGGTAGATAGATAGATAGATGGATAGATAGATCGATAGATGGATAGATCGTTAGATCGATAGGTAGGTAGATAGGTAGGTAGATAGGTAGGTAGATAGGTAGATAGGTAGATAGATAGATAGATGGATAGATCGACAGATCGATAGATAGATCGATCGATAGATCGACAGATCGATAGCCTCTAAGATGAGTTAAGACAAAATTCTAACTAATAATAGTTAAAAGTCAAAATTCTAACTATTAGTCATTTTCAAAATTGACTTAAGTTAATTCTGGAATTAACTTATTTTTTTACGGTTTTTAGCTCGTTCTTTTTTACTTCTTGAAGAGAACATGTGAATAATGTTTATTTTTTTTTAAAAAAATAATAAGTTCCATTTTTCATTTCCCAGGTAACATTTTGCTTGGTGTTTGATTTTTTTAATCCTAAGTCACATGCATCTTTTTCGACTAAGTCACATGTGTGGAAGACAAACATGGTTTTGCTGGAGCAATTGTTTGATTTTTTTGCATCTGTCCCTGTGATTTTTCCTGGCTCGAGGTGAAAGTTGTTTTGCTTTTTTGTTTGAATATGTAGACACATCATTGGTGTAGAAGGTTCTTTGAAGAACATACCTCATGAATGAGTCATGTTGCTCCAGGTTGTTGCTCAGGTTATCACTGGAGAAATGTTTTTCATCGCAAAACCAATTTGTTTTCAAAAGTTTATTTCCTTTGTGCTGAAGCCATGATGATGGTGCCAACTAGGAAGGCCAGATGTGTGCCTGACCCAACTCTGGGTGTTGGCGATCTGATGAAAGCCCTGAGAGCTGACCTTGCCCAGCCAGAACTGGGACCTGTGGCAGAAGCTCTCTCACCCAAATGGCCAAAATGCTTTTTTCTCGTGGAAAACAGGACCCAATCCCCCTGGATGGTGCAGATTTGATGTACAGGTTTGCATCTCTGGCGCCCAATGGGCTTCTGCTCAGCTCCAAGTTGAAGGTGGCCATCTTGAAGCTGCACTACGAGAAGAAGATCAATTTCAGCAAGTACCACGAGGAGGTCTTCGCTGACAAGTGCGACTACAGGATCAGATGCTTGTTGCATCAATTTCGGTCGGTGAAGCAGAAGAAGGAGGAGTACTACAGGTGTATGAGGAAAGCTTCAGAAGCTGAACAGCAAGCGATTGACCAAGTCTTGGAGATCATGCACCTGGCAGAAGAAGATGACAACCCAGCTGACCTGGCTGGACTTTTTGCTGGAACAGAACCACCTGCTCCACCACCCAGTGGAGTCTTGGTGGCTGACCCGAGGGAAAAGAAGGCAGGAAGCAGTGCAGGTGGTATTTTTGCAAGAATTGAGGAAAAGAAAGATAGCGATGAAAGCGTCATGGAACAGAAGTTGCAAATGGTTGCAGTGGAGCGTCCTTCCCCAGCACCAGTTGGAGTCCTTGCCTTTTCCACTGCAGCCTCTTCTTCTTCAGCCAGACAAAGCACAAACAGAAAGGCAGGGAAAATGCGCATTTTTCCAGAAAGTGAAGAGGGGTTGGATATGTCCCCAGTTCAGGAAAAGAAAAAAAAGAAGCAGGGTGCCGACTTGAACCCTAAAAAGAAAAAACAGAAGAAGGAGGCAGCACCTGTGCCTGAAGAAGCTTTGCTTTCAGAGGATGATTTGGAGACCATAGACCAAGCTCTTGTGAGTGCAGCAGGTTGCAAACCAAAAAAAAAAGGTAAAACAGACTGTGCTGAAGAAGCCTGCAGCTCAGAAGTGTGCCAAGAAGGAGGATGGCAGCAGAAAGAACAAGAGCTCAGAGACTGGTGGAACAGCTCTCAAGTGCACCTTCAGGCACCGCAAAACTTCTTCAGCTTACAACAGTGAGAAGGCGAAGTATAAGAGAATGGGCTACAGTCCAAGCACTTGCAAGAAGATGGCTAGCGCTGCTTGGCTCAAAGTGGCCCAAGAAATCGACTCTGGCATTCTGAAGGAGCCTGCTGTCGATGTGGATTAGAGACGAGAAGGGAAGGAAAAACAGAGCTTGAGTGTGGGTGGAGCACCAGCAGTCCAGCATTCTAGTTGACTAAGTCACATTGAAGCAAGTTTCTTTTGTAGACTGGTTTAAAGTTGTCAGGTAGGTAGGTTGCAGGAGCTAAGTAGCATTCAAGTTGGCTAAATAGTATAATTCCAAGAAGTTGGCTCACTATACTGTTGACACTGAACCTTTTTTTTTGTTGCCACTCAAAGCTGCTCAGACTTGACTTCCCTTTGGTTGCATGGCTCCAAAAAGCTTCCCTGAATATGCAGATTGGAAGGGCAGGGTGGTGCGCTGTGGCTGGGAGAGCTACCATTGCCAGCTGTGGCATGTAACCAGGTGGAGCAGTGGTTGGTCAGACTGGAGCAGCGCAAAGGACCACCTGGACATGCTGCCGTTTTCGTATGAGGAGAAGCTTGAAGTGGTCCAGGCCCAAATGGCACAAACTGGTGCAACAAGTGTTGGAGGCATTCCTCTGAGGAACCCTTGCCAATGAGCAAAGGACTCTGTGTGATAGAAAAAATGCTGCTTGGCCAGGGCTTGGGGTCCCTGTCTAAGTAACATTCCAGTTGCACTAAGTAACATTTTTGGAGGTCACTAGGAAGCAGGTTCGCCTGTCTAAGTAACATGCCAGCTGCATTAAGTAACATTTTTGGAGGTCACTAGGAAGCAGGTCGCCTGTCTAAGTAACATTCCAGTTGTAGTAAGTAACAATTTTTGGAGGTCACTAGATCACTAGATAGCAGGTCGCTCGTTGAAAACACAGTCCAAAGACCCAACCACTGCTCCTAAGTAACATTTCAGCTTGCCTAAGTAACATTTTAGCTGCTGTGTGTCACAACTGCGAGAAAAAAAGCAAGGCAGTGGATCTCAATTCTTTGAATCACATTCAGCTGAGAAGCTTCTCAGAAAGTAGCAACGCTATCAAAATGTTTTGGTTGAGGAGAACAAAACACAGATATCCAACACCAGGAGAACTGACTAGACCATCCGCACGCAACACTTTCACACTTGGAAGCACCTTTTACCATACTGTGTTTTTGTCACAGCAGGTCACAGCAGGTCACAGCAGGTCACAGCAGGTCAGCTCTTGACACCTCACTCCTTCTGCTCCCAGCCATGCCCCCGAAGAGCAGCTATTACAGCCTCTTTTTAGGAGGCATTCCAGCAGCTGCAGCGCACAGCGACGTCAGAGACTGGATCTGGAGTCGCACTGGCTTAGAGGTTCAGCAGATCCAAATTCAAAGAAGAACTGCTGACGCTACAATGGGTGCTGCCTTCCTTCGTTTTGAAAGACACACAGTGGCTGCTGCATGTCTAGAAGCTTTGAGAGGGCAGCTGATGTGGCACCACTGCACTAGCATCTCCTGGAGCAGAGATAGTGCACCCTGGCCAATGGTGGATGCTGCCACAGTGCAGGCTACCCCAACTTCAAATGATGCTGCAGTTCAGGCTACACCTGGTTGCGGAGATGCTACAGTTCAGGCTACCCCTGATTGCGGAGATGCTGAAGTTCAGGCTGGACCTTCTTACCGAGATGCTGAGGCTCAAGCTGGTACTTCTGGTTTACAAGAAGAACATGGCTCTGCAACTGAAGGAGAAACAGTGGCCTGCAGTCCTACCAGTCTGGCCAGAAGCCCGACAGCTTCAGAGGCGACAAACAGCTCCTCAGACGAGTTCCCGACTGTTCTGGGCCCTGAAGGTGAAGCTACAAGTGTTTTTGTCAGAAAAAAGGGTGGGCCTAAACTCAAAGGTCGAGCAGCTCAAGTCGCAGCTTTAGCAGAACCTATGCTGGATTTATGGCAAAGTTTCATGGACCCAGCAGACCCTGCTCACAAACAGATCAAGACATGGCTTAAAATGAATGTGTTGACCGGGAAGATTTTGAAAAACAATGCAGACAATTTGGCAGTGTGCGAGCAGGACTACTCCAACTTCAAAAGGTGGAGCTTTGCAATGGCTCAAGTACACCTTTCCTTGGAGCAACACTATGGTGAAGAGGATACAAAACTGTTCAGCGCCATTCCCAAATTACATAGCTGGCTGCCTGCACAGTGTTTTGAGCAGCAACTTCTGCAACCCGAGGCTGACTTGGTGCTTCAGACAAGAGGATTACATGGCAGTCCAAAGGACACTTGCAAAAGCCTCTTGCAAAGGCTTGCGAGGGCCACAAGTGACAGCAAAAATTGGCGCCAAAGCCAGGGTGGCAATGCACATCCACTTAAGCAATATGTGAAAAATGCAGAAAAAAGTCGATGTGGTAGCTGGAAGAATCAAGGAACAAGGGGGGTGCAACCTTAGATTCCAGTTGAAGTCTGATGCCAAGCTGGTAGGGTCTCAAGTGCCTCAGTCATTTTCCCAAGTAACATATGAGTTTTTTAAGTCACATTCCAAGGGTCTCAAAAATCACTAAGTAACATTCAAGTCCTCTAAGGAAAGCGCAAGGCCAGCTACTAAGTAAGACAACCAAATCGAAATTCAATTTCTGCAGAACATGTTTCCATGGCATGAGGCACTTAGCCAGGTTGGTGGGAAGGACAGCAACTGTGTTTGGCCAGCTTTGCTAGAAGAAACAATGAACATGTTTTCAGCCCTTCTCCGTTCTGAGACACAATTTCATACAATAAATGTACAACACTTTGGCACAACCTTATTGGATTTCCTTTATTTTTCAAAGAAAAACTTGTCATTTTATATTGTTTTTTGATGCTTTTCTTAAGGTACTTTAAGTAAATGAACTTAAGTTAATTTATGTTAAAATTAACTAATAGTCAATTTTTTAACTTAAAAAACAACATTAACTATTAGCTAGAATTTTGTCTTAACTCATCTTACAGGTAGATTGATAGATCGATAGATCGATCTATCGATCGATGGATCGTTGGATCGATAGATCGATAGATCGTTGGATCGATGGATCGATGGATCGATGGATCGATAGATCGATAGATCGATAGATCGATAGATCGATAGATCGATAGATCGATAGATGATTGATAGATAGATAGATAGATAGATAGATAGATAGATAGGTAGGTAGATAGGTAGGTAGATAGGTAGATAGGTAGATAGGTAGATAGATAGATAGTAATAGATAAATGGATAGATGGATAGATAGATAAATAGATAGATAGATAGATAGATAGATAGGTAGATAGATAGATAGAAAGATAGATAGATAGAAAGATAGATAGACAGATAGATAGATCGATAGATCGATAGATAGATAGATAGATCGATAGATAGATAGATAGACTGATAGATAGGCTGATAGATAGATAGATAGATAGACGGATAGATAGATCGATAGATCGATAGATGGATAGATCGATAGATGGATCGATCGATAGATAGATAGGTAGGTAGATAGGTAGATAGGTAGATAGATAGATAGTAATAGATAAATGGATAGATGGATAGATAGAATGATAGATCTACAGATCGATAGATAGATAGATGGATAGATAGATCGATAGATCAATAGATGGATAGATCGATAGATAGATAGGTAGGTAGATAGGTAGGTAGATAGGTAGATAGGTTGATAGATAGATAGATGGATAGATGGATAGATAGATCGATAGATCAACAGATCGATAGATAGATCGATCGATAGATCGACAGATCGATAGATAGATTGATAGATCGATAGATCGATCTATTGATCGATGGGTCGTTGGATCGATAGATCGATAGATCGTTGGATCGATAGATCGATAGATCTCGATAGATCGATAGATCGATAGCTCGATCGATAGATAGATAGATGGATAGGTAGATAGATGGATAGATAGATCGATCGATCGATGGATCGATCGATGGATAGATAGATAGATAGATAGATAGATAGATAGATAGATAGATAGATAGATAGATAGATACCATTATACAATATAAACCACTAGAGTTTCCATATGTGCTATGACAAAAACGCCCAGGTCTGAGAGTTGCCATGGCTGGACGCAGTCCTATGCCATGCTCCACCTCTGCAAGGCGCGTTCGGAGATCCCCGGGAAAATCATGAGAAACTATGGAACATCCCCTATTTCTAGGGGACATTGATGTATATATATATATATATATTTATAGATGGGATTATGGTATAATTTTGGGATAGATGAGAAACTATGGTATAGTTTTGTAGATATATATATATATATTTATAGATGAGAAACTATGGTATAATTTTTGGTATGATACATGGGATTATGGTAAATTCTCTGGGATATTGCGGATATTGATAGAATACTTAGCAACTTATGAACATATTCTGGCACCACTGTGGGATAAATGCCTTATTGACTGAGTCGGTATATTAAGTGAGTTCGTGATGTTAGAGTTGTTTCATGATGTTTCATTGCCATGATGGTTGGTATAATTTGGTGGACAATTCATGCTTCATATGGGCTTCCTTGGCCATCTTGGGGGAGCTACTGTAAGGCGCCCATTTATAGCCTCCAGATGTAAGGTGGGATCAGCCCAAGTAGGGGTATACCCAATAATCAACCACCCGTTGCTGATGGTCAATGTGAATCCCCCGAGACATCTCCCAAAAAATGGGGGTAGTTGACTTTCCTGTGGAACTTGAGCATCCCCTAACATCCTAACATGGATATGTTTGACTTAGACAAGTACTGCTACAGGAAGGGGGGCCCAGTCATAAGGTGGTTTAGTAAATACATCCGCTACAAATCCCACAGCGTTTGCCTAGTTGTTCACCAACTTAGCTATCCAAAAATAGGGGTAAATGCCACTGCAAAAATCAGACCAAGTCATGCATCCTCTCCACCAACAAAAACTAGATGCATTTCAAAAATAACTGGTTGGTGGTTTGGACCTTTTTGTTATGTTTATAATATATTGGGAATAATTATTCCAATTCGACTAATATTTTTCAGAGGGGTTGAAACCACCAACCAGAAAAATAAGTTAAAATTCCCAGAGGCAGAAAGTGCTCAAATTCCGAACCGCCTTCGTTTTCTTCGTGCAGCCTTCTTCGCAGGGACTCCATGTTTCTCAGAGCGAATCGACGTTGAGCCCCTCCGGCAGCAGCAGTTGCTCCAGTACCCCACCCAGGACTTTCCGGCGATCCCAAAAACGGTATTATAATGGGGAACATGATGATGAACCATGGGGTATAGGGGCACCCTATTTTCAGACAAACCCTAGTATGTACAGTAACATATACATACACAAAGTATATATCTGTATATACGTATATAATATAATATAATATAATATAATATAATATGATACGATACGATACGATATGATACGATACGATATGATATGATATGATATGGTATGGTATGAGATGATATGATAATATATATGATATGATATGATACGATACAATACGATATGATATGATATGATATGGTATGATATGATATGATACGATATGATACGATACGATATGATATGATACAATATGATATGATATGATATGGTATGCTATGATACAATATGATATGATATGATATGATATGATAGGATGCAATACGATACGATACGGTATGATATGATATGGTATGATACGATATGATACGATACGATATGATATGATATGATACGATACGATATGATATGATACGTTACGATACGATACAATATGATATGATATGATATGGTATGGTATGGTATGATATGATATGGTATGATATGATATGATACGATACGGTATGATATGATTTGGTATTATATGATACGATATGATACGATACGATACGATATGATATGATATGGTATGAAATGATTTGATATGATATGATATGGTATGATATGATATGATATGGTATGATATGGTATGATATGATATGATAGAATATGGTATGGTATGATATGATATGGTATGATATGATATGATATGGTATGATATGATATGATATGATTTGGTATTATATGATATGATATGATTTGATATGATGTGGTATGATATGAAATGATATGATATGATATGATATGGTATGATATGATATGATATGATATGATATGGTATGATATGGTATGATATGATATGATATGATATGGTATGGTATGGTATGATATGATATGGTATGATATGATATGATATGGTATGATATGATATGATATGGTATGATATGATATGATATGATTTGGTATTATATGATATGATATGATTTGATATGATGTGGTATGATATGAAATGATATGATATGATATGATATGGTATGATATGATATGATATGATATGATATGGTATGATATGGTATGATATGATATGATATGATATGGTATGGTATGGTATGATATGATATGGTATGATATGATATGATATGGTATGATATGATATGATATGGTATGATATGATATGATATGATTTGGTATTATATGATATGATATGATTTGATATGATGTGGTATGATATGAAATGATATGATATGATATGGTATGATATGATATGATATGATATGATATGGTATGATATGATATGATATGATTTGGTATTATATGATTTGATTTGATGTGGTATGATATGAAATGATATGATATGATATGGTATGATATGATATGATATGATATGGTATGATATGGTATGATATGATACGATATGATACGATACGATACGATATGATATGATATGATACGTTACGATACGATACAATATGATATGATATGATATGGTATGATATGATTTGATATGATATGGTATGATATGATATGATATGATTTGGTATAATATGATATGATATGATTTGATATGATGTGGTATGATATGAAATGATATGATATGATATGATATGGTATGATATGATATGATATGATATGGTATGATATATACATTATGTGTTTTTCCCGCACTGGGGGCCGGGCCGGTGCCCCTCGTGATGGGATCCAGACGACTTCCAGGGACTCCAGGGACTCGTCTAAGGCTTTCTTGCTGAGTAAACCATCTTTCTTGATGGTAAAACCATGGTAAACCATGGTAAAACCATGGTAAACTCGAAAGATTGTAAACCTTGGTATCAAGGAATCAATTTGTTTTGACCATCTTTCGGTAAATACTGGTCCATTCATATCCTTCCAAACAAATCCACATGTTGTGACATTGCTATGGAATGCTATGGATCAATACCGCTAAATTCCAATTTTTGGAGGGATGAACATCCATTTACCTTCTATTTTTGAAGGTCACCACAAGGTTTTGACCCATCCCAATAAAATTTGATAGACTTCCAGGATAGAGTGATGCCCATGGAAGCGTCCAGGAGCAACAGTAAGCCCCTGCCAGTTTTGAGAGACTACGGCTCGGTCCGACACACAGAGCTTTGGTTACTTGGCAGAGATTCTGTAACCGTTGGGAGAGAGGACTGACAGATAAAGGGGATTTTTCACCAACAAGAATAGGCTGTTGAATCACCAGTATATGGGGAGATGTGTTATATATGGGGATTGAGTCAAGAAGTCAAGAAGGTCTTGTTGAATCAGCAATAAATGAACGATATAGTTTATATGTATATATATATACATATGGGTATTTAACCAACAAGAATAGACTCTTCAACCAAAAATAAATGATGATTATGTCATGGGTTTTTAACCAATGAATTTGGGATGATGATCCGACTGTATCCGACTTCTCCTATCTGTGTTCACCTGGAAACACGGCGAATATGACGAGCACATGTTTCATGTATGTTTCACAAATTACCACAGCAGGACCAGTCATAGCTCAGTATAAGTTGGTTTATAAACCGTTATAACCCCCATTAACTTTAGTTATATCTACCATAAACCATAGAATTCAGCCACTTATAAGGCAACTGAACGCTATCTTGGGGGCCCCATCCTGTATAGCTGAAGCAATTTTCAGGGAAGTGACCCCTTAGCCAGGCAACTTGGTGGTCCAATGCCAATGCTTGAGACCGTGACCCAAGAGATTTCAGCTGTCTCAGAAACCGGATGAATACCCTCTGGTGAACTAACATAGCAATGGAAAATGGCCATAGAAATCGTGGATTTTCCTATGAAAAATGGTGGATCTTTCCATTGCTATGTGAAAGTTCACCAGAGGGTATGTGAAAAACTGCCATCATCATCAAAAAATAGTAATAAACATAGACATACCAGCCATAAACCAGCCATAAACCAGCCATAAACCAGCCATAAACCAGCCACAAACCAGCCATAAACCAGCCATAAACCAGCCATAAACCAGCCATGGTGATGACCATGGGAATGACTTGGGCCAGGAAGTGGCTCTGGTTGGACTTTTCCAGACCCGTGTCCTCTGAGGCGGCCTTGGGGTATGATTTCTGTGGCTTTTCTTTACAACGATCATCAAGGATCACAAGAAAAAACATATCCAAGTGCTGGAATATTGGAATATTCCATGATTTTTCATCTCGATGTTGGTTTAATTGATGTGTTTAATTTTTGGTTTAATGCAGCGTAGAACAGTTGATGAGTACAGTGGGGCATGGATCGACATAATGAGCCTCAGCTTACTCTTCTGATTGGCTTAAACTCGCTGTAGAGAGGTTTGGTGTTTCTTCCACCGATAAACAGGCAAACAAGGAGAGCAAATGGGACACATTTTAAGTTCAAGATGCATCTGGAAAAGATGCAAGGGTCACATATTATAACCATATAGTTGTATTAAATTGTATTAATATAATTATATATAAATATATGATTATGATTATTTCAATGTTTGTAGCTATAACTTATAACCATCAACCATCAAATGTTGTACCTTTAATGGGTCATTATAACCATCAACCATCTGATATCCAATGGATAAGTATACGCCAACAAAAAAAATGCGGCTGTAGCTTCCGCTTCCGGTCTGGCGAGGTCCCTCGGCTGATCCGGAAGAACATGCAACAGTGCAGCAGGACGACAAGCGGTGGCCATTTTTTGACGTTAGAGCCGATATAAACAATAGGATATGAATGGGGATATGAAATGGCTAGAAATTAATGGTATTCAATGGGATTTAATTATAGTGGTTTAATGGGATTTTATAGTGATTCAATGGGATGTCAACGGAATATACCTTCTGGTAAACATACAAACAACTATTGAAGCCACGGCCATAGATTTGTAGTTGATTTACCCATATTAATCATGGTGGTGATTTTCCATAGTTATGTAAACGTTTACCAGAGTAGATGTTTGGCGATGTTTGGACCATGTCAGAAACAGAGACTTGTACTTTGGAGGAGTATTCATGATTAGTTGTTTTTCTATAATTGATGACCTTAAGATCCATCCACAAATCACAGCATTGTTCAGAGAATCCACCCCTGAACAAACCCCTTCACAGAATCGAAGATCAAATCCCCATGGACAAAACTACATATTGTGATAGACATGAACTAGATTCAGCTAGATTCATATATCATCTGGTTGGTGGTTTGGAACATGTTTTATTTTTCCATATATTGGAAATAGATGGAAATAGTAACCCCAACTGACTTTCATATTTTTCAGAGGGATTCAAACCACCAACCAGTATATGGTATATTCATCCACATAAATTATCACACATTTATGATGTTTGGGGTATGATTTTTATATGCCATGGAGCAGATGGGATACTTGATCTCCGGGGATGGACGACTCAGCGAGGAGCCATTTGGACCTGGAAGCTCTAGAGCCAATTTGCGAGACGCCGCCTGGTGATCGACACGTTTGGGAAAACCATGGAAAACCACTCGTCCCCACTATGCATGGCTTGGGCTTGTCGCTTCATGTTCAAAATGATTCGCATTCTCCTTAGTTGGGATGGCCCCAAGTCATACAACCAATGTTGTGGGTAGAAAACAAATCCGTTCGCAAGCCAAAGTCAACCCAAATTGATACTTCAACTGGCGGCTCCGAGGGCGGTTGGCCTTTCGCAAAGCAACTCATCCTTGTTCAAAGAAGCAGCTTGGCAAAGATTTTTCGATTTATCAACTTCCGGTGTTGGAACGAATGAACCATATTTGTTTGAAACTTGCGAACAACAACAATGACACCATCCAAGGTGCTTAGGGTTCAGATAGGTTGCAGCTTGCATCGCTGTTTAGGAATCCCTTTTTTTGTTCCATTGGTTGACGACGGGCGGGGCTCTGTTTGAGGCTGCCTGTTGAGAAGTAGGCAAAGTATGCTGAGGGGCGATTTTATTTTAACAACTGTAAAGCACTAGTCAACGATCCACGTATTTGCCATTTTTTTAAGGTGGTTATGAACATATAATTATAAACCATCAATTCATGTGAGTGGTTTTTGATATTGCGCAATACCAACATTACTTGTATTTGAAGAATACAAAGCCACAAAAACACAACTCTGAAGTCATCAAGTGGACGCCAGAACTCCGGGGAATCATCTCCATATCTCCATGGTGGACGCCTGCCTTTGGGCTCTCCATGGCTGCAGGGATCGCAGAGTGCCGCTGTCTTCACTTTGGTATCTTCAGCCATGGGCGCTGGATGCTTATCGTTTTCTGGTCGCAAGGGGATCCCAGGGACACCCACGGGGGGACAGCCACGGGACCCCAGAAAATTCGAGCCTAGCATCCCAGCGGATGGGTCAGCCACCGGTGGGCAGCTTAGACCCAAAATGCCCACCGCTTTCGCTGCGGATGCAAGGCAGCTGGCTGCTGAAATCCCAAAAAAAGGCACGTTAAATCGATGGTGAAATATACTAAGTGACTGATGATTGATGTTAAATTCGATCGGTTAGTCAAATTTTCAAACTGTCCCATACAACGGCTATTGTTGGGTTCCCAGTTAACGAAGCTCTTTGCGGCCTTGCCTACCTTCATCGTTGCTGAGGCTGCCCTTCATGCTGAAGACGGCAGGTGTCGAGGGGAAGGTGGTGGGTAACTCTGACCTTACATATAACTATATAATTAGTTGATGGGATTTTTATAACTATAGTTAATGGGATTAACTGTTCTTAGATCCTAGATATTAAACTATAGTAACTATAGTTAATGGGGTTTATAAACCAAGATAAACCAGCTTTTTTCACTGGGGCACCATCCTGTAGAAGCTGGCTGAAAGTTAGAAGCTGCCTTCAGGGGGATATCAGGAAGAACCATCAGCCATACTGGTATCAGGGTATCACCAAGATATGTTTGTTGACTTCCAAATTCAAATAGGTGGTATTTGGTTAGCCATGATTTATGATTCAATGAATTATCAATGAATAGATGATGATTTGAATTGGTAGTTTCCCAAGATGTTACTGGGAATTCACCTGATTTTTGTTGGTATCATTAGTATAACCAAGATGTTATTTTCACATGTTTTCACACATGTTCACATATTTTCACATATGTTCACATGTATTTGGGATGATGATTCTCAATCCCCAAGCACTTGGATAGCACCACGTTGGGACGTCACCATGTGTGTGAGTAATTCGAAATCATCGATGGCCAGACATAGGAAGCTGGGTGGCCAACAATTTCAGCTGGTAGTGGCTTATTAATCTTATTATAAATCTGATTATGAAATACCAGTTGTTCAACTTATTCATCAATGTGGATTAATGCTTAGTATTCATCAATGTGGATTAATAATCCTTGTTATTCATCCATCTGGATTAATAATCCGTATTATTCATCAATGTGGATAAAAAATCTTATTAATTCTCATTATGAACATGTCTGATCCAGATCAGAACTCACTTTGACCGGCCAACTTTGATCCCAATCCATGCCCTGCAGGTATCATTCCAGGTCTGCTGATGCTTTTCCTTGGCGCTGTATTGGCCCACCTTTCCTTGGTTGCCCCTTGGAACGGAGGGCTGGGTCGGAAGATGGTTTCGTTTCTCTGAAGAGTGGCAGTTTGGGGATTCTGAGTAACATGAAAATGCCAGGACTGGACTCGTTCATTTTCCATCATTTTCTGTTGTTCCAGAAATGGTTGGTCCTCAGTCCAGCCTTCGATCCCGACGTTGAAATTTGTGGGATTTCCATCTGGGTTGCCATAGTCGAGGCCTCCCATTTTTTGTTATGCTTCGCATCCCAAATCGAATCTCCATTTTTGGACGCGACTCTGTATGTGTCAAGATCAATAAGCTATGAACACGTGATAGGGCACATCCATTGGCTCAATAGAGGCATTGCAGTCACTGCAGTCACTACTTGTTTTCGTGGGTAGCTCACAGAATTTTAAGTCCTAGTCCATGGAGATGGTCATAGTGAAAGTGTCAGTCATGGAGCAATGGACAGCATGGAGATTTCCAGGGCCAATTATGGCCAATTCATCCATGGTGCTGCTTGGATTTGGCCCTGTCACAGTGTGGGCAAAAAATCTATCCATATCCATCCATGGATGCAAGAGATAGTGGATGATAGTGGACATTTCAGCTTGATTCAAGCTTTCGGAAAGACGTCAACCAGTGACACCGCCACAATGTACCTGACTAGCCCCAAATGCACAGAGTTGTTGTCTGAGGCTGAGGATAGCCTTCTTCTTGAAATACCATGTGGCTCAAGGATAGACAATCACAAGTCATAGTTTGCGTTTGAGATTACTATGTGCAGATGTTTATTACAGTAAATTACTGGACATGTATATACATGACATGCGTACATGCACGTCGTACAGGTACATTTTCGGGTGCTTCAAGTAGCCACCCCCAAAAAAATAGAAACATAGTTCCAGGGATGTTAGTTTGATGATGTTTCCCCATTACTTTCGAGGTTTCCAATTGTTTCAGAAAGGCGAGTACAGCGACCATTCAAAGCTGCCTTTACCAATGTGACGCGTGCACCTTAAGGGCTTTGTCCTTTTTATATATATAATATAATACAATAATACATATATATATATATATATAATATTTTCCAATGTTTCTATCTCGTCTTTAGGGTTTCGATTGTTTTAGAGACTTTGATAGCAATCAGATGCACATCGCCGTCCAGGTCTTGATGAGCTGTTCACGCTATACCGAATCAGACAGCAGCTCGGTGTAACGTGACATCCAGCCGAAACAGAACTGATATTCAATGGGATAAACTACCCTCTGGTTATGTCATAATAGCTATAGAAAATGGCCATTTATAGTGGATTTTCCCATTGAAAATGGTGACTTTCCATAGTTATGTGAAAGTTTACCAGAGGGTAATATAATAATGGGATTTATAACAATTTAATGGAACTTTACAGTTTGCCATGGTTTTTCGATGGCCCTAATCGAAATAGATGGTTTACCGTTCTTAAACATGATGATTTTCCATAGCGATGTTAGATAACCAGATGGTATCATAACTCAGCAAAAATGATTTGTGGGCTATGAGAGATGATTACAGTTGGGGATATAGCTAAAACCCTATAACCATGGCAATAACCACCGTAAGTTGGAATGTAACCCCGAAAAAACTACCCGTATGGTTATATCCACTTATAACTGCAATTGCACTCCCAAGATCCAAGTATCTTCCCGTTTAATTCTTGTCATGATGCTTCTGTTTGTTGTTCATTGTTCACATCTCCCGTGTTGTTTTACAGTGGGTTGACCCACCCAAGTTGGTTCATTGCCCAAAGATCCATCTTCCCAAGACGTTGGTTTTTTTTTGCCTCGCGGCCGCGCCAGCCTTCGGGTATGGCATGTAGAGCTGCTAAACAGATGTACCCGATCCGGATATCCAAAGGATGGTGGTACCTGCTCCACCAGAGATTTCTTGTTTTCATCAGCCATTGAACCATTGGTTTCTCAAAATAAACAACAATTGTCAATAAATTGCATTGTTTTGGGGAGCCAGATCCAAAATGATTAATTTTATATAAATATATACTACATATAGTATATATTGCTGTAATACATGTTTGAAACATATATTAACTGCACAAAGTTTTAAAGTCTATATTCCCACCTTTGTTTCTATCCATATCTCCAGTAAACATCAGCCAGATCCTGAGGTTTCTCGAAGCTCGTCGCTCTCACGGGCACCAAGCGCACTGCGCGCACGGGCGGTGCCAGCCGATCCGTGGATGTGGTCATCGCAGTGTATGGGACCGGACCTGCTGCGAGATGAAGTGTTCAATGGATTGGTTTAAGGGAAAATCTTAACCGGAAACCATCGATTTTTCCCATGAAATATTGAGTTTTTCCTGTAAAATTTTCCCCAAAAAAACAAATCCATTGAAGTGTTGTTCAGAACGGATCATTTTTTGAAGCTACCAAAATGGAGGCCATCTGGAAAATAGTGGTTCGACCATGAATTTCTGGATGTAGAATGGGGATATGTCATGACATACTACATCGGGTATACCCAAGCACAAGGATGAATTTTATCATACACTGCATACTTTATCATGGTTTATCATTTTTCAATAAGAATTATCAACTTCACCGACTTTATCCCCGTTGTTTCGTTGTTGTTTTGGGTACGGATTAAAATTGGTTGCCCCAAACATCTCGCCAATGGAATGGTTTGCTTCACTTGCCCCATGGTTGACATATGAATTTGGTCAGGGCTGAGTGCACAATGGGTTGATGCAGCATGGGGCTCTCACTACTTCACTGAATGGAGATTGCTAGACTGCTTCCAGTATGTGAATCCAGCTTAACCAGCTTTGAAGGAGATGCTCGCAACACGAAGTGGTGTAACTGGTGAGTCTGACAAATCTCTTTGATGCTATTTGTATCTGCCAGTGGCCATCAGTCGTGGTAGGATTGCAGCAGTTTTGTGCTACCTCATGTTCATTGGGGACTTCTTTCTCGGCATTGTACAGTTTCTCAGCTGTCAGGTTTTGAGGATCTGGGTAGTACCGGTCCCCACAACCAGATGCTCCATGGTGCGCTTGTATATTTACTATGCCACTTTAAGGGTGATTTGTTGTGGTTGTTGATAAATATTCCAGCACCATGGAGCACATGGCATATATAATCATATATAGGTTACTTTGGGCCGGTGAAATGTTTTAGATTGTATGCAGATTGGCAAAGGTATGTTAATTTAACGGTATCTATAAAACCTCTTGGATTTGTTTAATGGAAATATGATAATCTAAATAACATCCAATTCACTATGAAACTGTGGATGGGCCAGCGAAATCCTGCACCACCAAACGGATGGTTGAAACCCTATGAATAATGGGATGTTTACCACGTATCGGTGCAGGACTTCGCTGGCCCATCCACCGTGCAGGATATGTTTGAAGTATCTATAAAACCAATTGGATATGTTTAATGGAAATATTTAATGATAGGTAATAATCATCTAAATAATAAACAACATCCAATTAACTATAAATAATATGAACAGTTTATCCAAACAGGATCCGTAAAAAAATATCAGCAATCATTAACATCTGAACATATCTGAAAAAACAGGATCCTTTTACCTTTTATGTAATTTCATTGTTTCCATTTACGAAGTTGATCCTGAATTATGTTTATTGTAATATTGTGGATGGAACACATCTGGCACCACTTGGTAGATGATTTATCCTTATTTATCCCATCATTTCCAGTGTTTCATAGTTACCAACTGGTAACCAACTGGTGCAGGATTTCGTAACCATCCTCAGTAGGATGCTTCAAGGCTTCTGACGCAACCGTGAAAACCCGAGGTCACCCCTGCTGCAATTGAACCTGTCCAGAGAAACCTTGATCGAGCCTTGTTAGGAAACGTGTTTTGGGTCGAAGAGCAGCACCCAAAACTGGGATTGCGGCCAGTAAAGAGTGGTAGTTTTCTATAAGGATTGAAGATGATTTCATATGATTTAAGCAAGTAAGGGAGTGTTTGATCATCAAACATATTGGAATCTGACCAGGGAAAACGAGTGTTTTACCTTTATTTACACCCGTTTTAACATGTTTTATTCAACACAAATGTGGATTTGACCAGAAATCAGCCTGGACACAAGCGGTCAGGCCTCTAAGAATGACCACAGCAAGGGGATGCATTTTGCTACGGAAATGTACTGAGCATGATCTCCAGTGGTAATTACTCTCTTAATGGGATATGTATATATATATATAATTATATACATATATGTGTATATATATATATATGCATAATGCATATATATATACACACTCTGCTTTAAAAGGCATCTCCTCATTGAACCTGCTTAATGATATCCTACAGAATATCCCCTTCGAGTTACTGGAGTTGTGCGTTTCCATTGTTCAACCATCTCCATTCACCAAGCAATCCGGAAGGACGGCATTGACATGGTCACCGTTCCATGATTTTTTAAATCTATATTAAATCTGGTTGGTGGTTTGGAACACAGCCGTGATGACTCAAGCTTCCCAGTAGTGCGGCTGGTCGTAGCTAAACTTGAGTCTGGTAAGTTTCACAAGTTTCGTGCCATGACTGGTTTTCCCATGGACTTCGCTGATTTTGAGAACGGGCAGCGCATCAACATTGTTTGCACCCTGAAGGTATTCGACCACACCCACAATTCACATTTGATGACCCTTTTGAATGGATGCGATTTTCATTTGGAAGGCCTCTTGAATGTGGGATTTGATTCTTACACCATTTTGGGGTGCTGCCTTGGCTGCCAGTTTCCAATGCCGAAAGTTTCCACCGATGAAAGAACCAAAATCCTGTCTCACTCCACACCGTCGTGGGAAGGGTTGCATAGCCTGATTGACCTTTGCTCAGGCTTCGGTGGTCTAGCACAAGGGGCCATTGCTGCAGGTATGCATGTAACGGTAGCAGTGGATCAAAACCCGAAGATGCTTTCTCTCTATGGGAAAATTAGTGAAGCCACCAAGATTTGCGGGGACTTTGGATGCCAAGAAGTGTTGGTCGACATTTGGCAGAATGCCAAAGGTGCCAAGGTGCTTTCCTCAGGATTCAGTTGCCAGCCATACTCACGTTTGGGGGACTGCCGTAGTGAACAAGATTCCAGGTCGAATTGCATCACCAAAACACTTGCCGCTGCCTACTATTTGCAGGTTAGGGCTGTCATTTTGGAATGTGTTTCACCTGCCGGCCAAGACCAATTTGTTTGCGCGGAACTGGATCGATTCCTGAAAGCCACGGGTTTTTCAATGTCCCAAATCGACTTGCGACTGGACTCCATTTGGCCATGCCGTAGGCAAAGAGCTTGGTGGTTGATTGTTGCACCGGAGTTGGGTGCTATTGACCTGAAGGTTTGGGATTGCCTCAAAAACATTTCACAAGTGCAACAAGTTATCCCTAGGATTTTACCTTGGGCCATCGAAGATGAGGAAAACCTTACCCTTGACCAAGATGAATTGCAGGCTTTTGGTGTTCATGAGGGTTCACATGGTAAACATCTTCTCAACGGAAAGGGACATGCCCCCTGCGCTTTGCATGCTTGGGGTAATCAACTTCGTCCTTGCCCCTGCGAGTGTAGGGCCTTTCCCCTGTCCAGTGCCAGATTGGAAAGCAAGGGTTTGCATGGGTGTTTGGTAAGAAGTGCAGAGACACCAGAGCGTGCCTCACAAATTCGACACATCCATCCAAATGAAGCCATGGCCCTCAATACCATGGATCCCATTTTAGATTTTGGATGTCCTGCCAGGCTTACACTATCTGCTGTGGGCCAATTGGCTGCACCAGTGCAAGCCTTGTGGGTGATTAGCCACTTCATTGAGCGCATTGAGAAGATGATGACAGGTTCCAGCAAGCAGACACCATCTGCCCAGATTCAAGCCTATCGGTCATGGATCCTGATGCGATGTCGCCAAGTTTGGCCTGTTGACAATGAAATGATTTTTGATCAAAAGCTCATCCAAATGATGGAATTTTGGCAAGACGTCCAGGGTTTGAGTTTGGAAGAATTGGTTTTCCCTCTGAAGTGGAATGACAAGATTCAAGAACCTGTCAGCATCGCTGCGGTGCTGGATCACTTGATCAAGTCTCACTCGAATCGTATCCCAGCCACGGTACCGGATGAACCGGGTGAAGACATGACTCCCACACCATGGTATGACGAACCTTGTGTTGTGGATGATACCACCACTGTTGCTTGCATGTATGCTGATTCATGTACGGTCCTGTTTGAAGGATCTTCAGATTCACCCATCCGATTCCAGCCGAAATGTTCCTCAACTGTTGGAAATTTCTTGGATGCACAAGAGAAATTGGTTGGAAAGCTTGTGGTTGAGCACATCCTCTTGAATGGGCGTGAAATCACTCCCGAGCACATCATGGAAGTTGGCCAGGTCATCGTGGTCAAATTAGCTGCGCAGAGCCATTCAAAGCAAAAGGCACACATGCCTGACATGAACCCTGTGCAGGTCTCTCCAACACTCGATTGGTCTGTTGATCCGATTGAAGATGTCCACATCAAATCGCCTCCGAGAAAGGTTTCCAAATTTGATGTAGGTGAATGTGTTATCCCGACCAAGGATGCCGTTTCTGAAGATGTTTGGCTTGATGCATTTCCTTTGCTGGGACTCAGAGGGGAGCAGTTTCTGAAACTGCAAGCACCCATGATCAACAATCCGCAACAGTTGTGGTCTGTTCGGCATCAGTTTCTCAAATCAGAGGACCGACTTGCAGTCTTGGCGCAGCAAGACACCTTTTGGGCAGATGATGAAATCCGACTCCACATGCACTCGCTTGCCAAACAGTATGTTGACCACAGCCTGAAGAAAGGGTTCAAACCGGTTGACATTCAGGTCATTGACCCACTTCTTAGCACGGCTTGGGTTTCACAGAAGGGTTTCCCTTGTGAACTATGGGCCAGAGATCACCCTGAAATCCGTTCCAAGTCCAATTTAGTTGTCACGGCTGTTCTTGTGGAGCAACATTGGATCCCAGTTTTCTGTTCGCCAACTGGAGACACCCTTAATGTTCACACATGGGATGGGGTTGGGGCCCAACATTCACCGCTCAATGATTTCCTTCAGAGATTTGCTGTGGCTTTGGGATTTCGTGAAGCACTGATTTGCAGAGAAAATCGAATTTTCTATAACACCAATCATTGCGGAGCCCTGGCCATTGCATTCTTGCGACAAATGCTGATTGGTACGCAGCTTCCCACTTCAACCAGTGAGGCTGAACACATTCATGATGCCCTGAGGAGTTTGTTTCACTCAGTCATTCAAAGGTGCCAAGTGACAGATCGACCCTGGATGTGGGGGGCTGGGGATAGTGACCCGCATGCTTTGACCCCTGCCACTTTTGATGCGCTTTCCATTGATCGTGAAACTCGCATTGATCTCATCAATCAGCATGAACCTGCTATGGCGGATGATGAAATACGTTTTCACATCCGACAGCTGATCGCCAGCCAGCCCTTCCGACCGACCCTGAGAGGATCCTTCACCTTCCTTGAACCACTTGTTTTCATGTGTTGGGATTCTATTGGCCATGTCATTGCAGAAAAGTGGTGTGAACAGAATCCCCAGATATTGGCTCAGGGACAACATGTTGTTACTGCTGTGATGATTGACAACCATTGGCTTCCTTTGTGGTTTGTACCGGAAGACCATGTGTTACAGATTCACACTTTCAATGACCCCCAGGCCACTGATCCTAAATTGGAGGGGATCCTGAATGCCATTGCTGGTCGATTGGGCTTCAGCCGGACGACGTTGCACCGTATCCCCAAATATGTTGAGGATGAACAAAGATGTGGTGCCTATGCCATGGCTTTCTTGGCTCATGTCATAACTCGGATGCCGCTGCCCACTGAAGCCAGCGTGATTCGCACACTACACACTAACATGAGGGCTTCATTTGTTGCACACCTGTATTCGATCACCAGAACGCCACGACCTGTTGTTTGGGGTAATGGACCGAAACGGGAATCCGGGCCACTCCCTATAATGCCCGTGGAAGTGAGTGAACATGAGAATGAAAATCCTTCTTGCTGTTTCCAAGGTGACTCAACCCTGCAAACTGGTGAATGGTCTGTGGTTTCACACTTTTGCAACTGCCTGTCTTCACCCATTGATGAAGACACACTGGCTCGAAGGAGACGTGTGAATGAGATTGCGCCGCATGGCCATGCAATGGGAGATGATGAGATTTCCTTCCACTTGGAACATATCCTCAACTTGTACCACCTCCAGCCAAGACACAGCTCTGACCACATCCGACACTTTGTCGTGATCCCGCCATTGACAGTTGCGCACTGGCTAGCTGAGAACCATTTTGAAATGGACAAGTGGGTGGCCCAAAACAATCAAGTCCAGTTTGGATGTCAGATCCTTATGGTTGCTTGTGTGGACCAGCATTGGCTTCCCTTTTGGATTGTTCCGCGGGGTCAACAATTGCATTGCCACTCGTTTCACCATGCCAGAGTTGACACTGCTGCCATTGATTTGTCCATTCGAAACTTGACTGCCAAGCTTGGATTCCAGGACTGTGTTATTCACAGGGTCCCTAACCCAGTGCATGAGTCTGGCCTTTGTGGGGCTATGGCAATTAGCTTCCTGGCGCACATTGTTCTGCGAACACCGATGCCTGCCACTGACCAAGCTCTGCGGGACAGAAGCTGGCAGATGAAGAACAAATTTGCCAACACGATCCAGCAGAGGCCGCCCACCTCCCCTGCCTTGTGGGGTTGGGGGCCACCAGGGGAATGCAGGCAACTCCCTATAATGCCTGCCCTTGCAGAAGTAGGGGACGACCAGATCCTTACATGCCTAGCCACCTTCCAGCGAGGGATTGCCATGGG